TTTCGCGTCTGAACTCGTTCATGAACTAACGTCAGACACAAAAAGAACTAAAGTTTATTTTCTACCTTCCAAAGAGTATCTAAACCGTCAATTTCCCACTCAGTTAAGTAAAGCTTGCAGGAAACCTGTTGAATTGACTTCCAAAGTATAAGTTATAAGTCGGTAGTTGGGGAAACAAAAGTTGTTGTTATGTCGAGACCAACTCGGAAGTATGGTCTAAAAAAGTAAAAATGCTTTTAAATATGGCTTTTCTATGAAAAGTAGTTTTATTACAAAGGAATACATTGACGATCGATTCCGATTTTATTAACAGGTATCTAAGCATTAGCTTCAGACCGTATATTACCAGCGAATGCTTGGATATTTCGGTCACTTTGCCCGCCGCCAGTCAGATAACCTCGACAAATTGGTTGTTGTTGGTAAGGTGGAAGGAAAAAGACCACGTGGCCGATCACCTAGCCGATAGTGTGACCAAGTTGCCAACTACACTGGACTCTCTGTTACGAAAGCCCTGAGAGAAGCCGAAAACAGGACAAGATGGAGGGAAATAACTCAGAGAGCAATGAAAGCCTTTCAGGGGCACGACCTTCAGAAATGAAGCAAGCGATCGAGAAGAAGAAGCATCAGCTAATGAGCCTATTTTTAATGAAGTTTCTGACTCCAGCTTTTCATCGACTGTACGGTTGTCGCAGTAGCGCAATCGACTGCTGCAAGTAACGTGACGCGAGTAATATTACCGTACCGAATATGGTAGATGCCTAATTTTTATTCTAATGTCCGTCTGGTATATTATTTTAAATCATTAGACACGTATTTTTTATTTTCTTACGGAAACTAATACTTTCGACGATTTATTGATTTGAAATGTCGTTTTAGCCCCCCTCCTAAACTTTGATTCGAAATGTCGTGTGACGTCACTGTGTGGTACAAAATGTAGCACGTTGTGACATACTTATATCCCGCTCCTAAACTTAACTCCATTATATCAAAGTATTGTTTTATTATACGACAAAATAAAAAAATAAGTATAAAATATTTTTTACATTACCTAACTTACGGACTAATTAGATTTTTAATTTTCATACTTTGTCATCATCCCAATTGTATTTAATTATGAATTATAAAATTTTGTTATATAATCTTCATAATATTTTTACTGTAATTTTAAAGAATGATTATTAAATTCAAAGCATTATTTTGTTACTGGTTTTTCCCAAATTTATATAAATACCTACATATGATAACAGTTTATAGCTTGAGATAACTTGTTTTATAACAAATCGAATGAACAATAATAACAGTAGATATTATGGAGTTTGAGCCGATTTCAGTATCAATGCACGTTTGAATTGCGTTCGTAATTATCGACGGTTTCGAACTGAATCTAACATTTCAATCATTGGAAAACTAGATGTTTACCTGCAGCTATCATAATCCAATGGGTAGTGAAATTCTTTAAACATTATTTCGACGCTTGTTGTTATGAAGAATCTATCCATAATTTCTGTGTAGGTACCAATTAAAGAGTTTACTAATCAGGATCTAACATAGCATATTCAATTAAATAGAGTCAATTCAATTAAGTGTGAGAGAGCCCTGCTTCGACAGGAATGGGCAGGCTCGACCGGAGTGATACCACCGCCTCACAGAAAACCGACGTGAAACAATGCATACGTTGCATTTCGTCATGTGAGTGAATTTATAGGATGCCCAATTACCCTCTCTTCCTCCCCAATCTCCCCCAACAATCCTCAAATTCCTAATGCCCAAAAGGCCGGTAACGCACTTGTAACGCCTCTGGTGTTCCAGATGTCCATGGGCGACGCTGATTGCTTACCATCAGGTGATCTGTCGGCTCGATTACCGGCTTAAGTCATAAAAATAGCAAAATTGTAAAATTAAATAAAAGTCATGGATTCCCCTTTCATGGATGGGATGGATTTTCGCTTGTGTAAACAAGCTATTACTAAGTAATAAATATATAAAATAATAAAAATAAAAAGTGTTTATTGTAATAAAAACATTAGACACACAGTTTATGAATACTAATATCTAAACTAGGCCGAGCCTGTACCTTAGATGTTAGAAGTAATGGAAGTTATTTAAAATCCTTACTATAATATTATAAATAGGAAAGTGAGTTTGTTTCTTTGTTTGTTCCGCTTTCACGCCGTAACTACTAAACCGATTGCTTTGAATTTTTGCAGACGTAAAGTTAGTAGTCTGGATTAAATAATAGGGTACTTTTTATCCCGGAAAAATTTGATATTCTCGAGGGAAAACGAAATTATTGGTATAGATGGCGCTGTATGTATTGGTATATGTCACATAGGCTAGTTTTTATCCTTTTGTGACGCGAGCGAAGCTGCGGGTAAAAGCTGGTATAAAATAAATAAATAAAATGTAATTCACTTGAATCATTCCTATCTATGTTTCAGTTAATAAACGTAGTGAATTAATTAATGCAGTCGAGGATTACATACATGGGTTCAATTGTCGACATTTTAATAGACATTCTCTGAATTCTTACCTGTACCCTATCAAATAGCAAGTAAACGAAGTGTCAATAAAAAATCAAAATAGACTACACTAGCAGTAGATTCAAACCGATGTGAGTAAACATAGCTTTAATGGGTTTTTCCGTTTTTCCATATTTGCACTGTACAGACAAACTGTGGTTTCGAATTAATACCTCTAAGCCTATGTGTGAATTTTTTGCCTATGAAGGTTTCATGGGCAATACCGATATGGCTATTTACTTTTTTCTTTGGGCGCGCATACGGATTGGCTTTATATTCCGCGTTTCGAAAATTAAAAACGTGATTGATATTTTCAGTTTTTTTTTATTCGGCGTAATAACTTGGCCGTATGTTTTTGATAGAGAACTCACCATCATCAGCCTATAAATACAAACTGCTGAGCAAAGCCTCTTCTCACACGGAGAAGGTTTCAAAGTAATAATTAGAAATTATAAGTCCAGGTTTTCTCACGATGTTTTTCTTCACCGTTTGTCAGTGGTGTCTAAATAATCTTAGAAAGTACGTATAACTCGGAAAAAGTCACATTGGTACTTGCCGTTGGTGGCTTTTGAACCTGCACTATCATGCATGAGAAGCGGGCGTCTTACCCTCCGGGCCACCACGACGACTTGTAGATGGAGGATTATTAATATTTCATTACTATAAACTGTTTTCATGATGACTTAATGGACAATGTCTTGGGGTCAATGAAGGCCTTGGTCCAGCAGTACAGAAAGTCTTCTGGCTCTTGATGATGGTAGGACTCCTAGAATTCCTAGAAGAGTATGTAAAGTAACAGTTGGTAAGTACCTAAATATAAAATGTTCATCTTTACTTTCGACGGAATGAAATTTCCTCCTATGTTTATGGACTGCAAATATAATTTAAAAGTGGTTTTCGATTGAGTTTACTTTTATTTAGTTTTGCAAATCTTTCCGACGCTGTGTACGCTCGTCATCACATCGGATGCTATTTGAAAGGATGTAAAATTCCATGTACATCTAGCGACTCCTCGTTGGCCGAGTAGTCGCTAGTGCGACTGCCGGGTAAGGGGTCTTGATTTCCGGGTTTCAGTAATAGCACGGAGTCTGAAATTGTGCCTAGTATATGGAAATAGGCTCACTCCCTATTACATGGGACTCATAACACAAACAGTGAAAAGTATATAGGTGTTACATTGTACAGTGGCATTAAGTGCCATATTGTGCACCTCTGCCTACCCCTTCGGGGATAATAGGCGTGATGTTATGTTATGAATCTAGCGACTCTTGTGACTTTGTAACCTTTATCAGGTCAACTGTCCTTTCTAGTGCATTTCTAACTCTATGCATTATCTTCTATTATTCGGAACCAATCATAATTTAAAATAATTACGCTTAAAATAGCATCATTTATAGTAGTAGCAGTCCACTGCTGAACTATGAGCCTATTCGACACAATAGGGGTTAATCGTGATTCTTACGCTCAACAGGCGATTATCGGAGCTCCGGTTCGAAGTCCAGGAGTAGAAACGGGTTTGGTTTTAGTCAGTAAGAGATTGACACTCCCTCCCGCCTCACCCAGGCGGGAGAAGTAATTCGATGATTTTCCCCTTAAAAATGGCGGATTGGATATCGTGGTTTAAGAGTTTTATGCCGGAATACTGAAACGTTACTCAATTTTAAGTCGTGCTCAAATATCGTGCCATCTCTGTAATTTTACAAAGAATTTGTAGAGATAGAACTATACTTAAAATTGAGTAGTGTTTCAGTATTCCGAGATTAGTATTTTTAGTTTTAGGTTTAAGAGTTATTTATCAGAGAGAGCATTGTTGCCTTTAGCCTGTCTTGTAGTCGGTTCTACCGACACCCACGGAAAGAGTAGGAGTAGTAAATTCATGGCGTGCTGCGCCTGTAATTAATTTTAAGACCAGAAGCTTAGGTGTTGATGTTATTCACACAACAGGTGATTGGAAGATGCTCCGAAACTTTATGATGTAGTGGTAATCCTATGTCGCTCTTACTATAATTGAAAGCTTTCATGAGATTACTAGTCTAGGTACAACCTTATGTGTTTTAGTGAATTTCTATTAACTTGAAGTATAGGTAAGTGATACTTTGGACCAGCAATGTGTGCCCATACTTTGTAGGTAGCATGAAATAAACAATCAGCTTGAATATCGCGGGTTACTTACGTGAATATACTGACCACCGAGGGAGCACGCTGCTCATGAGGAAGAATTCCTTTGTGGTTCGAAACTAGTAGAGCTTTTCTCAGTATATTCACGGTGAGTAAGCCGCGATTTTTAATTAATTTATTTTGTCTCACGATAGTTATTATAAAAAATCGACTTGAAGCTATCTATGTACAAAAAAATGATTGTCAGTTATTGATTATTTATTAATTGCGGATATATGAGCCCTTTCAGGTCTTTAAAACTGTTTATAAAACGTTATTAGCTCCTAAGAATGGGGCCCAGCAACTTTTAGACAGGATATAGTCACGCTTCGGCATGAATGAGCTGGCGCTACCGGAGTGATACCACGGCCTCAAAGAAGATCGGCGTGAAACAACGCTTGTATTTCATTTTGCAATATTAAGGTCATCATAAATACCTAACAAGTACGGCTCCGGCACGGCTCCAACTCAGCAATCAATTTGTCATTTAAATGTGAACTTTAAATCGTATGTCATATCACATATTTTATAACACCGATATAAAAAAGCTGTAAGCGCGACGTCGACACGCCGGCGGCATGCTTACAACCTTTTTGTATTGTTTCCAAATCGAAAAACCTATAGTCGGTTAGAGTTACCGGTTGCCTCCAAAGGCTATCAACGCACTTGTAACTCCCTCGGTGTTGTATTCATGAATAGATGGCGCTGATTGCTTACCAACAGGTGACGCGTCTGATCGTTGCTTTCCTATGATTATCCCATATTGAGGTCATGAGTGAAATGTGTTTATAATAGGTATACTGAGTATTTATGATCTTTGAATGAATCTGAAATGATCTCTGAAAACCAAAATTATGGAATATAGTTGCAAATAGCCGAGTTACTAATGCAATGCAGTTAGAGCTTTACTCAATCAGGGGAACATGACACTGACGGGCCGACAAGTGAATTCGCTTCTCGAATTCTCGATATCCAGAACGCGCTATTCCACATGTCCAGTTACATTTAAGGGATTAATGTTTCCTTTTTCTATTAAATGAAACGTGTTATTAATTGAAATGATCTGTCGTCGACGGTATTTCCGAACCGATACGACCTTCAAACCTTCAAGAAAGATCGTATTCCTTTTTAAAAGGCCGGCAACGGACCTGTGACACCTCTGGTGTTGCGGGTGTCCATGGGCGGCGCTGATCGATTACCATCAGGTGATCCGATTACTAGTTTGCCTCCTATTCCATAAAAAAATTGTTTAGTAACGTTTCGTCTTTTATCGCTGATGGGGTTGGCAGAGATGCATGTGCGGTGTGTCTTGTAAATGTCTATGTTATAATGTATACCAGAAGGTCAAAGGTTCAAAGCCAGAGGGTCAAAGCTCAAAGTCAAAAGGCATTTATTTCAATTAAACTACACACATGTACTTTTGATAATAATACAATAAATATATATTATAGTATGTCAGTCTTTGAACAGTGAACTAGATGCTCGTTCTAAATTGTAGATTCGGATGGAGAAGACCGAGCAAGAAATTACGTCGCTACACATTTTTAACTGCTTGATATACAGGGTGGCCGGACAGTTGACGTTCAAGACTAAAATTTAGGTACTTTATGATGAGGTGAATTCAAATCACCCCCATATATGTTCTACGATTTAGCGTAGTTTTCAAGTTATAAATAATGTTTTTAATTATTTCTTTCGTATTTTTTATTTTATAAAAGTTGCCCCACACCAGGATTATCTCCTGTGTCGTGGTCATTTACAAACATACAAGTTCACATACACATGACACGCAGACCCGAAACAACATTTTGTGGATCCCACAAACTGTTGTTTCGTACGGGAATTGCACCCGCGACACATTGCACGGCAGCCGGTTGCCCAGCCACTGCATATCTATATATTTATATATGCAGTCTATATATTTTTCACCTAACATCAGTTTTCGATTTTTTCTCTTACTGTTGGACTTTTCTCGTTCAGTTGTTTTATGATAACTGACTAGCATAGTATAACCGGCCGATTCGATTCCCGGGTCAGGTAAAGTATTAATGGGTGTTATAAAAATCTCAGTAGTAGCACGGAATTTGAAATTGTGCCCGGTATTTGGTAATAGGATATTACATGGGACTCATAATATAGATAGCGGCATTAAGTGCTGTAATGAGCCCGTGTGCCTACTGCTTTGGGGATAAAAGGTGTGATGTTATCTTATATTATATTATATCTTTATTCTCTGACTGCCTCGTTGGCCGAGTGTTCGCAAGTGCGACTGCCGGGCAAGAGGTCTCAGGTTCGATTCCCGGGTCAGGAAAAATATTACAGAGTGTTTTAAAAAAATCTTAATAGTAGCATGGAGTTTTAAATTGTGCCCGATATATGGCATTAGGCTCACCCCCTATTACATAGGTCTCGTAACATAAATAGTGAAAAGTGGTTGTTACATGATTGTACAGTGGCATTAAGTGCCGTATCGTGCCCCTCTGCCTACCCCTTCAGGGATAAAAGGCGTGATGTTATGTTATGTCTTTATTCTCGGGGCAGTTATGATCAAAAAACCATTTGCCCCGTTTTCACCTCCTACCGCTGAGGTGCAAAGTTTAAGTTCTTTTTTATACCTGATTTTACACTCGTACAAATACATTGGTAATGTTTTTTCCCCTTTTTTTGCAAAATGTATTAATTTTACTCCACTATACCTATCAGGAAGATTTATTTTAATTATATTTAAAATTAATATTTATATATTCGTCATAATGGATTTACATTGTGTATGTTCTGATAATATTTTTGAGTAGGTAGGTGAGGTACAAGGCTCATTGATAAAATAATTGTTATTTGTTTTTATTTGGTGATAAGATTACGTTTGCTGCTTTGCAATATAATTAAAATAAGTTCAAACTAATTATTTTTAATAAAAGTTAGTAATAATGATAAATGTTGAAGTCTTAGTTTTTGGTGGTGAAAAATATTAAGTATTAATATATTACTAGACTGCCTCATTGGCCGAGTGGTCGCAAGTGCGACCGGGCAAGGGGTCTCGGGTTCGATTCCCGGGTCGGGCAAAGTATTACTGGGTTTTTAAAAATACTCAGTAGTAGCACGGAGTATTGAATTGTGCCCGGTATATGGCAATAGGCTCACCCCCTATTACATGGGACTCATAACATAAATAGTGAAAACTGGGTGTTACATTTAACATCATAAATGTAATACCCGAAGAGGTGCACATTACCTACGGCACTTAATGTCACTGTGTAATGCAACACCTACTTTTCACAATTTATGTTATGAGCCCCATGTAACAGGGGGTCAGTCTATTGCCATATACCGGGCACAACTCCAGACTCCGGGCTATAACTGTCAATTTTTTAAAAACCCTGTAATACTTTGCCCCGCCCGGGAATCGAACCCGGAACCTCTTGCCCAGCAGTCGTACTTGCGACAATTTGGCCAACGAGGCACTTCTTTATCATTTTAAGTTTTAAACAACTGTACAGTCAATCTTTTTCTAAAAAAATCTAAAATAAAGTAAAAAAGAATATTATAGGTAAGCATTTTCTGAAATAAATATTTCGTCGAAAATCTTTTCGTTTCCTTTATGCATTTACTAAGGAGCTTTTCAGTTTCTTTGACAGCTCTTTGGTAAAAGATATTAAGTATTCACAAAACTCTTTGTAAGTAGTTACTCTATTAGTCAATAATAAACTACTGCAACTTTTCAATAATTAATATAAAATAGACTTAAGTACATTAAAATTAAATTATTATGTTTTCGGCTTACACACGTAGTAATTCGACGAGGAACTCGACTAGTTCGAATCACGGCAGAGGGCGCGCTGGGCCCGCAGACTCGAGTAGCCAGTAGCAGAGCGACAGTCGCCGCGTCGCGGGTCGCGAAATGCTGCTCTTGAATATGAGCCTCTAGCATGACTTGAAACTAGTCGAGTTCCTCGTCGAATTACTACGTGAGTAAGCCGAAAACATAATAATTTATTTAGTATGTCTCACGTAAGTTACAATACAAATTTAGATTAAAATTGTTGAAAGATTTCCGGCTTGCTCACGTAGGTAACTGTTTGAGGTACTCGACTAGTTTCAAGCCATACTAGAGGCTCATATTCAGGAGCAGCGTTCCGCAACACACGACGTGGCGACGCGACTGTCTCGCTGCTATTGGTTACTCCGAATCCGAAAATCATAACAATTAATTTAGTTATGTCTCGCGAAAGTAATAATGTAAATGAAATGAAAGTGTATTATATTTCATAGGCCTCCTACATGATTTCTAAATGACTAGATCAGTAAAAAAAATATGTTTCGTTAGTATAAATTAATCACAACAACACAGGATTCAAATAGGTACAAAATCCCATGGATTTGTCCATGTATCAAAGAGGACGCGTTTTAACTACCTTCTTACGACTGCAAGATTGGTTGGGAGATGGCATCCAGCGGTTTGACCAAATGAATTTCTGGAATAATCTGTATTTCTAAATAAAAATCGATTTACTATCAAAAATCTACTACTACGCGGTCGCGGCGACGTCGCGCACGCTGCTCATGAGGAAGAACCCCTCTGTGGCTCGAAACTAGTAGAGCTTTTCTCAGTATATTCACGTGAGTAACCCGCGATTTTACTAAATTAAGTTAAACTTGGATTAATTCTATGAATTGCTTCGGGAAAATGGTGGTAACGGCTGGATGACTGATTCACATTTATTGATTGCATAATTGGCGTACCTAACGGCTGGGCTATCAGTAGCTACACTAAGTCATATCACCGGTTGGATTCCCGTAAGAGACGACTCTTTTTGTAACCCTTAAATTGTGACGTAAAGCATCCATAACACAGGAAACAAATTTCCTAGTTTGGGGCTAAGTTTAAAATTCTGCAACGTACTCAAAAAGACATCAACCTTTTAATTGTCAACATACCTACACATGAAAGCAGAGTTAATCACAACAGAAAGATGGCACCCGATAGCCTAACCTAACCTCTTGTCACTTAACCTAATTTTGTAGCTCTCTTATCAAAGCGTAGATTACTTACTCTTAAAATTGTTCAGCTAAAATTATAACTTAAACGAAAAACAAAATTATTTTATTAAATTTGGTCCATTGGTTCATTGGACTGCTTCGTTGTTTGAGTGGTCGCAAGTTTGATAGCCGAGCAAAATATGGAACCAAGTTCTATGCTCGGATAAAGGCAATCTAGATATTATAGGGGTTATCGTATAAAATTTCATTAATGTGAGCATGAAGTCTTTAAGTGTGCCCAGCTGTGTAAGTCAATAGGTTTACCCATAAATAAAATAAAAAAAGAATGCTTTTTACCTTTCTGTAGGTTCACCCTATTGGCCTATGCACGCTACACACCTTACGATTTCACTGTTTAGTTTTAACCGTACAGTCGACCTGTACAGGTGTAAAATAAGTGTGGGAGAGCCATGCCTCGGCATGCATGGGCCAGCTCGACTGGAGTGATACCACGGCCTCGCCAAAACCAACTTGAAACAACACTTACGTTGTATTTCGTCGCGTGATTGTGGTTACCAGAGGCTAAATTATCCCCCCCCCCCTATCACCCCGTCTCCCCAATTCCAGAATCCCCAGCAATCCTCAAATTCTTAATTCCCAAAAAGCCAGTAACACCTCTGGTGTTTCGGGTGCCCATGGGTGGCGTTGATTGCTTACCATCAGGTGATCCGTCTGCTCGTATACCGGCTTATTCCTAACTTTTTAACTAAAGGTGTGTAGGCTGTATGAACCTACGATTTATCTATACAGTTAGCACTGCACAGTTAACTGCAAGTACGATTTAACTGTACAGTTTGACTGTACAGTATTTAGAACTGCAGACTTAAATCGTAAGGTGTATGGCGTGTATTACAATGGGTGTCATAGACATTTCCAGCATACCGCATTTTATTTCTTCGGTTTGTAGCCTTATCTAATCATTCCATGGCATTATTTTCTCACCATCTTAACTCTGGTCGACTTCAGCTTTCATCAACAACGTCGTCAGCAGTCCGCGGGAGAGTTGGAGTAGACCCACAGATCTATCTCTAAGTGTTAGGCGGCTTGGAGATAGCAGTATAAAAGTTTTAGGTTTATATCATAGAAAACTCGCCCGGCCATATAAACATTTAAATGAGTAATAGTCATCTCTACAATGTTTTTTTTATAATAATTGGCAAACGTTCAACAAATAATTTTTATTTCCATACGTAATGCTTTTTCACCTACTTAATCTAGAATATTGTCCACTTACGTACATATATTGCACAAAATCATATCTTAGAAATGATTTTTAATAAGTTAATAGAAAATAGCGGATTCCAACTGTATGCAGCTATGTAGGTATAACTAGGTGTAGATATTATGCATATCACTGATATAAACATAGAAAAACTGCAAAGGATTGATAATGTTCACTAGCACGACTATGCCGAAGGAGTCCTGGATATGATTTGTAGCTCATTTTTTTTTGCGATTTTTGTATAATAAGAAAGAAAGAAAAACCATTTATTTTGCTACGACACACAATAAGAATTTAGAAACACAAAAAAACCTATGGTGCGTCGCAGCGCAAAAGGCTGGAGCTCAGCTTAATACCGTGGACCGGGCACAGAGGCTCGAGCCCACGGCGCTGATTTTCACCCCTCTGATTTTTATTTTCATAATAATGTAAAATTATCATAACTTAAAAAT